TTTTTCGGGTAAGTTCATAACTCGGGGATCTGGGAAGCTAGAAAGCTGAAATCTTAGGGGGACTATCAATGTGCTGTCATTGGGGGGCGCACGGAGTACTTTTGTCTCGCGTACAAAGACTCTACGGAGCGATTTTATTTGTTTAATTAAAAATTTGCTCTCTCTGAATTTCTGAAAGCATACATTCCAATGAAAGTCACATAACTTAAAGAATAATAAGGCACTTGCTAGAAATGTGACTGAAATTCGGGCATGCGGACAGAAATTCGGACAAAAATGCCTTGCCAATAGTTAGAAATCTCAATTTTTCTTTGAAAAAATTCAGCAGCAGAAGCACTTCGATTGATAATAGCATCACAAATTGCACTGGCATGAAATTTTTTATAAAATTTACTTGTTTTATCAGATTATCCGAACAAGCAAGAAATCACTCGGCACTCCGTGGACTTCGCTCTTCTTTTTTTCACACGCCCTCGAAATCGTCTTCCGTTTTACCCTTTTTCGATTTCCAGCGATCATGATCCGGATATGGGTTTTTATTGTTTGCCACTAAGGTTTTTTTTTTAACAGAAGAAAATTTTCCAGCACGGATTTTATTATAACAGCCAGTATTGATGGGCATCTGAAATTCTGGAAGAAAAAGCACGGCGAAGGCATCGGATTTGTCAAGCATTTCCGCTGCCACTTACGTTCGTTTTTTTTTTTTTTTTTGATTTCATTAGTGGAAATCCTCGCCCCGTTGAAAAAAAATCCATAAGTTTTTTGCTAATGAATTGATCTGCTGCTGTGATGAAGACAGGCAGAATTTACAAAAGTATAAATTACACAAGAATAAGTCAGCCTATCGATTTTGAGTTGCACCGCTCTACTGCTTATTCCTTAAATTTGCGTTTCCCTTCTGAAACTGCCGATATGATCGTTTACTTCTGTGCCAGTACTGCTAGCTAATTGATACAAGACGTCTGCAGGACGATCAACATTCTTCAGCTGAATTTATTTACTTGGTTTTTGTTTGTTTGTTTTTTTTTTTTTGGATTGTTTAACACGCGTGCCGCTCTTTCAGGGCATTCAGCTGAACGTCCTTTCAGATGCGTTTTCTCATCTGGCCATCAATCACAACGGAACATTGCTGGCAACCGTATGCACGCATGACAAATCTGTAAAAATATTTGATATTCCAAATTTCGATATGATCAATATGCTAAGTACCGATTTTGCACCGAAAACAGCAGCCTGGATACACCAGGGTGAGGAGCTGCATTACTTCATTGCACTGCTTTATTTCATCGCTTCGTTTTTTTCTCGAAAAAGTATGCTTGTGAAACTGCTGCACAGAGTTGGGCAGAAATGATAACTTGCTGATTTTTGTGCCTGTAAGTATTCTTTCTGGTGGGTTCCCCTGCTCTGTTGATTGAATTTTCCCTTTCTTTGCAATTTTTTCAACTTTTATGAAGGCTTTGCACTTTTCGAGCTAAATACGACAATTACTGACGCTTGACTGGGCTCAGCCGGTTGAGAGAGGACTTGCGGTAAT